CCCGCGCGCTCTTGCGGATTCGTAGGAAAACCATCACTTTTTAAACAATTTTGTCAAACGGGCTTTTGCGAGCAACTTTTTCGAACTTCTGCGACAACGGTTGCGCACCTGCCAGGGCCATCATCCCTGTCAAATAATACCATGCGGGACACATTCGTTTTTTCTTCGCGCGCGCACGCCGAAATCTACAAAAACCATTGGGTTTTTAAGAATTTTAGCACCGCGCATCATAAAATCACACGAATCGCACCGTAGGTCCTCGAAAAACAGCTGCACGACTTTTCAAAATTTCCCCCCGCGCGCGCTGTCCGAATCCTCAAAAAACCAATGGTTTTCCAACATTTATGTTACATGAGCTCGCGCGAGCTACTTTCGCACGCTCTTCGGCACATGCGGGGCCCAAACAAGTGATCAACCTCTGCGGGTGTGTACTCCACGCCAGTGTAGTATCCACGATCGTCCGCGCGCCACGAAGTGAAGTGTCCTGACGTCATAGGGCGGGAAGCTGGGTGTGGGTGGTTCCCGAGAGTCGTGTGGATGTTTGGTAGAGCTTGCATTGCCCCCCCACGAAGTGGGGGTATTGGCTGGCGTCGCATGAAAACCCTGGCACTGGGGAGAACACTGAGCGTTCGGGTAAAATGATTGTTGTTGTTGTTGTTGTTGTTGTTGTTGCTGCTGTTGTTGTTGTTGTCGTCGTTGTAATTGCAGCTGTTGATGCTGAAGGTGACGGTGATGATGATGATGGTGATACTGATGATGCTGCTGTAGGTGTGGCTGCGGATGGTGTTGTTGTCTGTTGTTGTTGTTGTGGCTGTCGTCGTTGTGGTTGTCGTTGTTGGTGTTGTTACTGTTGCTGTTGATGGTGTTGTTGTTGCTGCTGCTGCTGTTGTTGTGGTTGTTGTTGTTTCGTTGCGTTGCCTTGCGTTGCGTTGTGTTGTTGTCGTCATCCCACCCGCGACCCGCCTGCGATCCACCCGCGACCCGCCCGCGACCCGCCCGCGACCCACCCAACCCCGCGACCCACCCCGCGATCCATCCGCGACCCACCCGCGACACACCCGCGACCCACCTGCGACCCACCCGCGACCCACTCGCGACCCACCCGCGACACCTGCGACCCACCCGCGCCCCGCCCGCGACCCGCCCGCGATCCACCCCGCGACCCACCCCGCGATCCACCCGCGACCCACCCGCGACACACCCGCGACCCACTTGCGACCCACCCACGACCCACCCGCGCCCGCGACCCATCCCCGACCCACCCGCGACCTACCCGCGACCCACTTGCGACCCCCCCACCCCCCACCCACCCGTGACACCCAGCCGCGACCCACCCGCGATCCACACACTTGCTTTGACGAAACATTGGGCGCCTGCACCGGGCTTCTCCAGAGCTTCGCAGGCTGCCGACGACCCCGCCGCCCCCTCAATCTTAGCCGCAAGTCCGGGGTGGTACTTATCCATTCGGGCGAAGAGAACTATGCACATGCACCGATCCTCACAAGGCCCATCCTTGACCCAGGATCGGTGCAGATACCTTCCTGGCCAAGGTAGAGGGCGTATGCACCGATCTTGGGCTCAGGATGGGCCTGGCCAGAATCGGTGTATGTGCATAGTTTTCTTTCCTCTATCCATAACACCTGCCTGCCGAGGCCCCCGAAAATCGATCCCCGGGTGGTGGTCTCGCACTCACTTCCCGGAGGGCTGGGGCAGCTCCTGGGGGGCCGCCAGCGGCCCCAGCGAGGCTGCCAGAGAGGCTCCCGCGGGGCCTCCCCGCGTGAAGGGGGGGCCTCATCAGCGGCTTCCTCCCTGGGAGGCGCCCAGGGGCCCCCGGGCAACCACCGGGGAGCCCCCGTAGCGGGCTGCGATGATCCTCCCCGGCCCCATCTGCTCGGACGCCGTCCGGGAGGCTCTGATCCCACGGGGCTCCCGGGGGGGGGGGCCCTCCGGCAACCCCCCACGGGCTGCCGGCGGCCCCCCCCCCTTGTGGCCAGGGGAGGCCTCCCGGGGCCCTCCCGGCGCCCGCGAGGCCGAGCCCGCCCGCGGGCGCCTCCTGGGCGCCTCCTGGGCGCCCCGCGCTGGGGGAAGGGCGGGGTGCCGAGGCTTCGCCTGCTGCCCGCCCGCGGGGGCGCCCCGCGGTGGGGGGGTGCAGCCAGGTCTCGCTTGGTGCCCGCCCGTGGGCGCCTCGTGGGCGCCCCGGCAGCGCACGCCGCGTGGGTTACAGCACGCGGGCTGCACAACACGGCGTGCACCGCCGAACTCTTAGCGCCACCCGCCGTGCACGACGTCGCCGGCAGAACGCAGCTTGCACAGCGTTGACCTCACCACT